AGTTTACACTTGAATATTGTGGCTACTGTGGTGTTGGCCTTGCCCCAGTTAAAAACTGTACACTTGTTTTTAAATGATTGTCTTTAAAATGTACCTAACTAAAAATAACTTGCTTTATAGACCTTTGATTTGTATTGGCCTAGGGGTAAAAAGGTGAAATTAGTCCAATTCATTGCCAATTACTTGCTATACTCTAGTTCTGTGGTACCCTTTATAAGGACAATAATTTTAAAACAATCGTTTGGTATTTAAGTAGAGCAAGACCAACACTACAGTAGCCATGATATCCAAATGTAAACTAGAGTATAGAAACTAATTGGTAATGAATTGAACTAATTTTACCTTTTTTCTCCTAGGCTAATACAAATCACGGGTGTATAAATCAGGTTATCTTTAGTAGAGACAAGGAAGTATTGCTACTGTTTTATACAGCGTTAAGATCTCAGACTGTTGTCTACAGTCTTCATCAACTTTGTTAAAAAAGATAAATTTAAGCTAAACAAATTTATAAATTCAGGCTGGAAATTAGAAAAAAACTTTTACTTTTTCATAAACTGAAGTATGGAAGACCATTCCAGAACAAAATAGTAGAAGCAAGTAACCTGAACTTCTTCAAGATGAGTTGTTTTAAGCTTGTAAAAATGACAACATGGTATCATGGATTTGGGCTTCTACTGGTTGCATGGAGGGGGCAGAAACTATTTTTGTATGTATTATTTGACTTCTGTTTCTTTCTCTGGTTTAAACTTGTTTCCTTCGCAGCATTGCATATGTTGTCCTTGGCTAGAGGTTGGAGATGACGCAGAATGCCATGGTCCTTGTAGTGAGGTGGTAAAACCTCTTGGGTCCCTGGCTGGTGTGTCTTCTTCACATACTCAGATTAGAAATGGCCATATATGGAGTCAGAAAGTAACTTTTTCCTTAAGTCAATTTGAAAGGGCTGTCTTTTATAATTTTTTGCCTCTTCTCTATATAGCAATGAGCCACATCTTAGGATCATCTGAGCATATTTTACTAACCGATCCCCTGTAATTACAATGACCCAGGCATAGATGTCAGTCTTGTCTCTAGCTTCTCCTGTTCTCTTCCTGTGGAACACTATAGGCATTTTGTTTTACTTTATTTTAATTTAATTGGGCTCTTTATGACTGTGCTATGTGAGAGGAGCCAAAATGTATGCATGGTCTTAAGGACCATTTTGACCAAATCTTTATAGCCTGATTGTCTGCAAGTACTGGACTCAATGGCCTTGGGAGGTCCTTTCCAGGCTTACGTTCCATATGCTAATTGTTTGCCATTGAGTTACAGCATCCCTATTTTATTATTTTAAACTGGACATTGATTGCTAAAGTAAGTAACCAAGTTATTTAGAATGTGAATAGTAAATGTTCACATTTGATCATTTGAATAATGGTACTGAATTCATTCAGTAAAAAAGATTAGGTAGTGTTGATTCACCTGATGGTATGACTGATACACAAGTAGCTACTTGATTCATGCAGCTAACCAATCCCGTGCAATTTCTCAAGTTCATAGTTGTTCATAGAAGAGATAGCACATGTTAAAAAAAGGTGGGGGGAGAGGGAGGCAGGGGGTAGAGATCTGATCTGTGAAGAGTCTGGGCAAAATGGGGAAAAAAGGAGACGAAGGCTGCAAGGTGTGTGGGAAGATGTGCATAACTGTATAAGGAATTAATGATGAAAAAATGTAACAAATAAACAGAAACAGTACATTTTGCAGTTATATGGCATATCATCCAGTGCGAAATGTTGCTGCAAATCGACTTCACTATGACAGCACTATCTCAGATACTGAAAACTCTTGGGGGAAGTAGGAGGGGAAATGGATGCTGCTGTTTGAGCCATCTGTGTAAAAATGGTGCCATTTAACTAGCACCTCAATAGAAAACATGGTGTTCCAGCTTTAGTTAAAAGATTAATTTATGTCCTTGACTTACTTCCCTCAGACTTTCTAATTTGGCTTTTAGGATGACTGCAATCACATAAAAGTGTCCATGTAGAAAAGAGCTGATGCAGGAACTGAGCACTGCCCACTTGGCAAGCAAAAGGGCTTTGTTCACTGCATGGTTGTGAACTATCAAATTAGCAAATGGGTATATGGAGTTTTTAAAGTGCTTTCCCCAGAGTGAGGAAGTGGATGAGTGCTTGTAAAAGCTGCTCACCTGCCTAATTTGCTAGGACAATGGATTAATAGAGGCCTTCAGCTAACAGCTAATCAGATATCAACATTGTATATTTACAAAGCTTTCTCTGTCCTTATGCTCTGCTTTTTGCATATTCTTTTTACAGTGTTTAATGAAGTGAACTTAGGCTCACAAAAGTGTGTGCTCTCTATATAGATCTTATTTAGTTAGTCTATAAAGGTGCATATCTACCCTACCCTCTGACTGATTTCAGACTAACATAGATAACTACCTCTCTCAACATTACAAGAAATAGTTAAAAAAAAGTTTGCATTAAATTTGTTATTAACTTAGCCTTTGGGGGTTGCCTATTATTTACTACCAAAATCCTCATGTCAGAATAGAAAATTTAATGTTTGCTTAAAAATGAGCTTCACTGGAGTAATCATGACCAAAATTGGAGACCTTACAAAGGTTGTCCTAGGCCAAATTTGAATAAACCTAGGAATACACAAAACATTTATGCCATTTGTCTTAAACTTTTAAAAGAGCTGAGCCTTAGATAACTGTAGCTCTACTGTTTCTCACTTCATTAGTCTGGGAGTTCACTGTGTAAGCATATACTCAGGATTTTGGATGCAAGAAATCTCCACCTGATATTATTAATTCTTCATAATTGGTCACAATGGCAATGCTTTAGGAAGGAAGAAGGTGGCAATTGTATAGGGCCAAATGCAGAAGCCATAGCTCAAAATTCACTCAAACTTCTTATTTGATTAAAAAGAACATTTTTCGAATGTGAGCCTTGTATATCACATCGTACCAAATAAAGGCCTATCTTTGTTAGATTTTAAGGTTTTCTAATACTTTGCTTCTGATACAAAGTACTGGGTAGTCAAATCCCTACATCATTTTGAGACAGAGTGACAAAATCTCCAAATCCTTGGAAAAAAACCTGCAGTGTGTGACTACCTCAGAGAATTAGAACTAGTAAATTAGAAATTTAGCATGAGTTAAAAAGTGAGAGGGACATGGATCCCATATTAAGCAGTCCTACTCACTACAGTAGGAAAAAGAGGGTGCGGGGTGTACTATTGCTTGCAAAAGGCTGATTTAGTGAAAACTGGGAGTGTGGAGTGCTTGTACATGTGATTAAATTGCCCTTTTAAGTGGTTCAATTGCCCTTTTATAACAGTTTAATTGTGTCACACTGTACACGTGCAGTGACATATTGCAATGTAAATGACTTTGTTATGCAGCAAACTAAAACACACCCCGATGTCTTTTAGTTTGCTACCTAACGAATTGCAGTAATACATCCAAACCTGGTGGATGCACCATCCTCACCATCTTCTCTGGCTACCAGAACACCCAGCTTGACCCTGGGGAAGTAGGAGGAAGTGGCAGGAGGGTAGCTTGGTATGTTGGCAGTCAGAGAAGGTGGGAAGGACAGTGTACAGGGCACTGGAAGCCTAGGGGTGCTCAGGAAAGCTCAGGCTTGGTGGGCTCCTAGCCCCCGTGCACAATCCCCATCACCTTCTCCGGCCTCCAGCACACCCATCTACTCTCCTGCTGCCTTCCTGCACTGCCCCAGGGACAAGCCAGCCCATTCCCAGATGGCAGTAAGGACTGTGCATGGGCTGCTGGAAGCCCCAGCAGGAAAAAAAAGCAGCAAGGGACATGGTGCTTTTTTTTCTTTTTGGCAGAGCCTGCTTGCAGCCAGGGGGGTGAGCTGCCAGTGGGCCCTGAGCTCTGGGGGGCCCAGTCCTTCCCTGCACAGCAACAGTGCTCCCTTGGGGCTGCCCAGGCAGACTGCTAGTGGACCAAGTGCTGCCCCATCTCGGAGGGAAGGCCTGGGGCCCCCCCACAGCTGAGGGCCCATTTGCAGCTCACCCCACATCCACAGGCAAGCTCCACTGGGGAAAAAAAAAGAAAGCAAGAAGGACTGGGCCCCTCACCCTAACAGTAATAGAAGCCCCTAAATTGAAACAGTGGCTTTTTAATCATCACAATTAAAAACCCACCATTTCAATTTAGGGGAACTAAACACCCGTCATGTGTACAAGCAGCCATGGAGACTGTAACAGTATGGAGACAAGTAACCTAGAAAGGTTAGATTGTAGGCTGGAAGCAGTTCCGAATGAGACCCTGATAAGCCCTCCAAAAGGAAAACTTTAAATCAGGAGCTTGTATTGTTTCAGTACTTGGACATTGGTTCCCAGAAGGAAAAAATGTCTTTAACTGATCTTTGGAATATTGGACTGTGTAGAGTTAATACAATTCAGAACTTAGATTAAAAGAGTTGCAAAACTCCACCCAAAAAAAGTAGTTATTTTCCCACTCCATGGGTCTTCCTTGAGTTTGAGTAATGAAATTCATATGATAAATATAACAGAAGTTCCTGTAAACTTCCAGGAAGCAAAGGGTTTGTGACCTGCTCTGGAGAATATGAGAAACTAAATGTATAAATCATGGTTGGGTTTCTACTGAAACTTCTTGTAAAAGGCTTTGATTATTAATGCTTAGTGGATACTTCTCAATGATCTAGGAGATGCTTTCCAGTTTTGTGTACTTGTATACATGTACCCTAACAACAATTAACCAGAGAAAAGATTAAATATAACAATATATACCAAAACTTAAACGCTATCTCTTTTAAGAGGGAGGTTTTTTTAATCTTTATGATGGTTTAGGAGTAATATAAAATACAGCATAGTGACTAAGCATAAATAAAGATAAATAGTGTAGTTAATTTGCAAACGTATCCTATAAATATCTGTTCATGTGGATTATTGTTCTTCTCATGATCATGCATCTTTGTGGCCAGTCTTAATTGATATAAATTTCAACAAAAAAAATGAATCTGAGAAAATCGTTAACTAAGAAAAGCATTCCTCTCAGCAACTATGAAATCTTGTTTGCTGTTCTGCTTGCAGTTTTTGTGTGCGTTTGTGCTGGATTAATTACACTTTCGTGGTTACTAATCATGGAGTTTCAACAAGGTAAGTAATCAAGATTTAACCTTTACAGGGTTTCAAAGCCAACTGTCTCAGACTGTTGCAGTCACTGTAATTATTTTCCACATTTCGTGCTCTGCCTTTAAAATTGTTACTATATCAAAAACCCAAACAAAACAAAACAGAAAAAGATTAATTACTCTTATCCTCTGAAAATTAGTAGGTGTGAGAGAGAGAAAAATGTAAGAAGGACTTGAAACATGATAGAAAGCTTGATGAAGTCAACCAACATACTATAATTGACTTCAGGAGACTTAGAAGATCCATTTAATTTAAATTATGAACTCCATGATATTTGGACATGTATGTTAGAATGAACATTTAAAAGCTCTGCTGCATTTGGGGGTTTTGCCTATTTTTCAATCAAGGTAGACTGTATTTTTTTTAATTGTACTTTTTTTGCCTGGATCCTGTACAGTACTGAGCAATTTCGTATTCAATCTAGTTGCCTAACTAATATTTTTGATATTTGTTCTATCCTGGTTGCCCTCAGGTTATACTCTTTTATGTAGTATGCTCTTAGTAGCAGGTTTTCATATATATTAAAGCCTTTGGTAATCAAGCCAGATAAAAAAAACCCATAATTCTTGTAAAAAATTTTCAGTGGAATAGTTTTGGATTGTACCACATTGAATCACGTTGACTTTTTTTAAAATTTTTTTAACTTTTTAACCAAAGTTTTTTCTTGTTTTTGAACATTCCATTTAGTGTTTATAGTAAGCATGTTATATTTGTTATTACATTACATTTTGTGTGACATTATACTTTGACATCATTTTAAAAAAAATCAACTTTATCAAAGCAACTGCTTATCAACAAAGTAAAACACATTTATATTTATTAATCTAAATTCGGTAGATTTTCTGTTCCAGGAAAAGTCATCATTTCAACTTTTTATCTTAATTTAGAGCTGAAACAAATCTAATTTTTTCCACTGGGCATATTTCATTTTCTGATTGGTTCTAGTCACAGAATAACCCAGAACTTCAAAACCAGGATTTTCAGCTCATATAAAATGGTATACTCTCACTGTTAAATAGAATAGAAGGGAAAATATGATGAGGAAAGTGTATAGGTGAAAGAATTAAAGAAGAAATCATTGTTTTTTATGGAATGTTTTTACTGCAGGAAAATCCTCAGCTGGTATTAATGAGAATGGCTCCAGTGAAGCCACCGGTGCTAGATTGACATACTCAAGCTGAGCTGCCCCTCAGACTATTACTTCCATTAACATCAATGGCAATATACCTTTTGCCTTAAATACAAGCAGGATCAAGCTTTTCAGCTGTGAGGAAAGTACTGTGTTGGATATTAATGTCATTTCCAACATGCAAAGGTGCATTTCAACAGGGGATAACAAAAGATGGACCATGCACAGGGTTCAGCTAATAAATAAATAAATAAATAAAAAGTAAATAAATAAATAAATACAATTAGTGTGAATTTAGAATAACCAGTGCCTTCATTGACCAAGACAGATAACAAAAGGCTGACAACACAAAGGCCAATGTTGCAGTAAACATCATGCAGTGGAATATTATTATTCAAAGGAGAAATTATTGTATTTTATGTAAAAGGATGTTTAAATCCCATTTCTCTATCCAAAGTCAAAATACAAAGAGGTAAAATTTATTCATCTGGAGAAGAATAGCAGCATGATATTATCACAAAGTGGCCACATATACACAAGATGCTGACTGCTCAGTAGCTTGTTACTACTCTGCAGTAGTGTCACATGGCAGGAAGCATGATGTGACACTACTGTACAGTAGTAATAAGCTACTGCACAGTCAGCATCATGAAGGAGCCATTTAGTGAAGCTACTGCCCAGGAACTCCAGTTACTGCACAGTCATTTAGTACTTGTTTATACAAGTATTAAGTGACTACACAATAATGACTGTGCAATCTCATGTAGATGTGGCTACTATATGCCCCTTTAGTCTCAAGTAAGTCTGATTTTAAGACTTGCTTGAGATTTCAAAGGTGCCTGTTTCTTGAACTGGCCCTCAGGGTATGTACAGCCATTCAGGGAAGTTAGGGAAAGGTTATATCAAGTTAAAAATGGCCACCCAATCTAAGGTAAATTGGGATAGCGAAGCTAGTAGGGAGGCTTTTGGGGGGGTCAGGGCAGCAAGTAGGGTCCAGGGGGAGGGATCTGGGGGACAGGTGGGGTCCCTGGGAGGGAATGGGGAGGTTAGTGAGGTCCACAGTGGCAGGCAGTGTCTGCAGGATGATCAGGTGGATTGGGGGAGAAGTGCGGTTCATGGTGGGGTCTGGAAGGGTTTGATAGTATCAGGGGGGCTTGCAGCATCTGTGGAAGGCTTGGGATAGTGGGGTTTCTCCCCCAGCCCCAGAGAACAGAGGCTATTTTTACCCCCCCCGGTGAACGAGCCACCTACACACCCCAACTGACTTATTAGGCTCCCACTAAAGGCAAATGCTGGCTTGCGGGATGTGGGGGTTGGTGGGCTCAGGAGACAGTGGGGCTGACTGGTCTGTGGAGGGGGGTTGTCTGTGGAGGGGTGGCAGGGGGATGA